ATCAGTGCCTTGGACCCTTGAGTACGGACCCGGAGAACAGAGCTCGGTCGGCGCCGAGACCAAGAGGATGACCTTGGCTCGCGTCGTTAGGATCTCGGTGGTCCTCGTGCTGCCGTCGCTGCTGCTGCTGCTGCTGCTCGTCGCCGACGGATCCTGGGCGCAATCTTATCCCCGCGAGATCAAACCAGGTGAGCGCTGTGGTGACGGGAGACTACGTTTTTTTTTTAACTCGTTAGGGGCTAGCGACTCTAATTACCGTGATTCTTCTCTCTTTCAATTGGTGCATCTGAGATCATTCGTAAGTTCTACTTCGAATATAAATGTCCGAGGTGGAATTTACAAATTACGCGCTAGACCCACGCTGTAGAGTCCCTCGAGCAATCTGGAGTCAATAGCAGTCAATAATTGCAGCGAATACTGCGATCATTAGTAATAATTTATATTTAATAATTACCAACGTTTTAAACTTTATCAGAGAAACACTTTGTCGCGAGTGTCCCGTGGAAAAATATCTTGAAATGTCTTATTAATATTTAATTAATTAATTAATTATTTTTCCGAGCACCTTTGAGGACAAGGCAATATTTACAGCAGCGAAACGAGATATTTATTTTATGCAAATGTCAATTATACGCACGAAAAGACGCGCGTTTTAATTGCACAAAAATTTGCCTCGCACTTTTCATCTTTACTGGACATTCGATGTAGATTCCGTATCTCTCCTCCGCGCAGGTATCATTATATTTTAGAAGGCCGTGAGTCTTAACCGATATTTTTTCCCATGTGTCGTGAGAGAGCAGTCTACCTTAAGGACTATTGTTTTCGATCGAGGTATCTATGGATCGTCTCTTGCGCAATTATAGGGCCAGGGTTAATGCACGACGAGCGAGGCGTTTCTATCGAATCACGGTCGATCATGAACATCATTTTTCTCATCCGGCTAAAAAGCAGAGCCGCTTAGAAAGAATAACGAGCATCTGTTCCCTCGTACAACAGTTTTAATTAAATTTATGCCTACTACTACTCACTAATGATAATTTATGGAATTATATGTTTTTAATTATGCGTCTCTTTTTAATTTCGCAAAAGCGAAAGATACAACTGTTTAACCAGATATCGTTGCTCTCACATTCGACCCAGCATTTCCATTATCATATTAAACCACACACACACACACACACACATACATATATCTCGAGTACTTAAAAAGCATTTCGCTCGATTTAATTACGTCCTTCACTTACCTTTAAAGTAAGAACGCTCGAAATTACATAGCGTTCATTTTCGTCGCGTGGCTTTGATTAATCGCACCGCCAGTGAGTGGACGGATTTTCCAGGATTCTCACCGGTCGCGGCCGCCCGGCCGGATTTCCATCCTTGTTCGGCTTTTTCCCGCCTTACATCTATTATCTCGCGTCACTTTAGCGGTCTCGGAACTCGTTCCCTTTCTCTTTAGAGTCGACCTTCCGCTGTAAAAAAGAACGACCAATAGCGTACAAGCTTCTTTATAGCAACATTATGTCCCTTGCACTGCTTAATTACTATAACGGGAACGCTCCTCCTTATCACAGACCTCTCGTAAAAACGGTGCAATTAAATCACGTAAAGTAACAAAATTATCATAATGAGCCTTATATCTATCATAATCTATTAATATCCGATTCGGATGCCAGGAGTATATTAAAATATTTAAATTTACGAAAATTTCTTTTAAAATTATGTTTATACAGTTAAATGTAAAGACTGCGTATATTTTCAATTATATATAAACGATACAGTCGTTTACTTAATAAAGACCTTAGTAATTATTTTAATTATACAATTACATATATTAATATTAAATTATTATATATATTATTTATGTATTTAATCAAACAACTTATTGCATCCGTTATACACAGGTCCCTAATAGATAATAGCTAATTTTGGCTTTTCCTACTGATAATGATCATCTTTAACTGCTTTTTTCGCTCGCTTTTTTTTATTTCTCTATCCATTACGCCGCTTGTCACTCTCGGGATCAGGATTTGACTTTCTCCGTCTAGCCACTCGGACCTTTCTCTCTTCTCTCTCTCTCTGCCGTTCTCAGATCACCTAAGTGATTTTTTTTCCTCCACCCACTCACCTCGTGCCGAATGGATCTTACACGAACGTTCAAGCTTGACTGGCTCTATATATCATCCCTCTTAGAAAATTCCGTGCCTTCCGTCGACGTGACCTCGTGCCAGGTCCTTCATACCTCGCGTAAGGAGTCTCTTGGCAGGATGAAACAGTATTGATACAATGCCATTACTGAACAGTGCCAAAACGTCCGGCTCATCTCGCGCCATGACGGAGGAGAATCGTAAGCGATCCTTGGTTGCACGCGCTCGCACAGCCCGTCATCTCGATGGCAATTGTTCGTCGGGCTGCGGGAGTGCAAAATGCAGTCCTGGGAATAAAACATCTCTCTGTATATTTTTCATGTTGATCATACAGATCTCGCACTTTTATGCTAAGTTGCAGAGACAAACAAGTGATTACCGAGTTGCGTAAAATCATCGTGTCATTTGTTAAAGCCCGATGGAAAAATATTTTTCCAGCGCATGTTTTACGCGAGCGAATATATCGCATTTATAATGCATATCTATTTTGAGCGGCTCTTGTCCGAGCGTCGTTTTCCAGGTGGAAATTTAATACAGATTCTCTGTATCATTTTTCGAATATATCTGTACATTATGATCGTAACAAAATCCAATCGCATTAATGTCACATGATATCTCAATGACTAAGAAAGAACGAGAAATATATATCGGCAGATATTTTCGTTACGAATCAATATTTTAACGTAACGCCGTCGGATGCACGCGATAAACGCGAGTGACAAAAACTGTTTTTTCGAAAGTAGCGAGCAGTCTGAATGCTGGCTAAAGGCGACTATTATTGCTCTACAAGAAATATGATGCGCTGTGCGTACCAATGAAACGGATAACAATGACGGAAGCCACGATTTCGGAAGCCAGTGATTCATCACTCGAGGAAACTGCGCGAACTACCGTCACGTTCGTCGCGATCGCGCGCTCGAAAATGATAAATTCTCCGGCGAGGGATCATCGCGCAAAGGCGCGGTCGACAAACCCGATCAGGCGCTCATGCGCTGCCTGCCGATAATCGATCGTAGTGTATGTTGTAGCGCGCTGTTCATTTGTCACGTATCGGTCGTAAGATAACTCCAATCGACGGCGGCGGCACTTCTCAGCTTTCTCCCCGAGAAAACTGGAAATAAAGACGATGCTGCCGTTGTCATTGTTAAATTACATCCCGTTGGCGCGCAACTCCCGGGCGTCGCGCTGTGCCCGCGCTTCGATATGAGAGCCGTCTCGGTTTATTGGACGTCGCATATGCTGCGAAACAGCTGCTCTACCGCGTGTCTCTCTCTTTCTTCCGCCTAAACTGGTCGAAAGTGCAAACGGATGGATCCGCGTCGTCAGTTATTACGTATCGCTGTTGCAGAGGGGAGTCGATTGCGTTACATGTGGGCGGGGAAAATTAATTTTCTTTTCTGGAAACATATCGTACGTGTGCGTGTTTCTATAAAGGATACCAAATAAAAGCATCCACGCGTTCGCTTTGCTATGAAAAAAGTAATATCGCGTATCGGACTGAAAATTTGAATCTTGCTGCACGGCAGCTTTATTTCGTAATATAATTACGCAGAAGTCTGTATGAAAATGTCGGTAGAAATGACAGAGAGAAAGAAATAACTCGCAAATAATTCTATTCGCCTTAAGGCTTTCAATTTCGCCGCGGGAGTGCATTCGCACAAGCGCGCGCAAAGTGCATCGGCTTTGGGAAATAGTGCGGCGTATCAAAGGAGCTTCAGAATTTCCCTTGTGTTTAATCCGGTGCAGCAGTAATTACGCCGCCGATGCGACGTCGCGCGAACTGTAGATACATAAATAACGGAAAACATTAAGATAAATAACGTTTCGATCACAATGGCGACACGCGGCTTGATTGCGTGATAAATTACTTATAGCCGTCGATGGTCGCGATGTGAATCCAGCACGCGGCGAGTTTCAGTGAAATAACAGTAATTCAATTATCCAACTCTTGTTTATCATTCTCGCGCAGTTTACTTTGTTCCTTGCATCGTTAAATAATGCATCGCGGTACGACGAACTTCATTTAGCGCTTTAACAAAAATATCTTAAAACAGCCCGTTGTATCGTTACGTGTAAATTTCGTACGTTTGGATAAAAATACAAATTTTGCTAATAATTGTAAAATTATTTGCTTATTACTCTTTTAGTCACGATTGCAAAAATAGTTTCATATAAATGTAAATCAGGTGGCCGAGAGAAGCTTGATTCGCGCGGAAACTCATTCGCGGTTCGCTGCTAATAACTTGAAAATGATTGATGCCTCGGTGTTTTCGTTATAGAAAAATCGACTGCAATATCGTCGAAGAATCTGTCGTGAAAGATTGATGCGCGCCGAGCCATGTATATTTTTCTCGATGTGCCTTTGCGCGCGACCTCCGCGCGAAAGTTACGCACCGTTGTCGATAGTGGCGTACGTTCGCCGTAAACCCGGACAATTTCCCCGTGCCGCGATCACCCGGTATGCGCTCGATGTCCACCCTAATTACCGGTACCGAGAAAACATAATAATGCCAGAGGATCGACTTGGAAAAACTAGTACAAAGCATCCGTTGCCGTCGTGTCGTCCGACGAGCTCTCGTTCAGGAACGGATTCTATAAAAGAGTGTCGTTGGAAAAATTTGCTTAAAATTCTTCTTCCTCGCACAAGTTCCAATGAAGAAATATAATATAATATTTTTTTAAATAACTACTAATATTTATTTTTATATGGGCTTCACAATGTGCATATCGCTGTAAAAATCAACATAATCACACGATAGTGTGCAAAATTCAGAATTGAAACCGTAACTTGGGCATAATTTCGGTCAAATATCAATGCCATAAAGTATAGAAAATGTTGCCTATGTTTATTCGAACAATAAAATTGCCACGATCAGCGCGAGGCATTTTCTCGCGCGCGCGTCTTCGGTATGGGAAATAGGCTTATATATTGAGATTATAACGGTTTCTCAATCTCTGTGAGGGATACTACGTACTCCAACCTTTGAACCTTTGAACTATCGCGGTTTTTCCGATAAGTCCTGCGACCACTCCGCCCCTGTTCG